GGTTCCCCCTACAGCCAGTGAAGGCCATAGGGTTCCCCAGAAGGAAAGGTCCAGCCGGACCAGTGCACGCCGCGAAGCGGACCGGCCAGCCAGACCCAAGGTTCAACTACGAGCTTTTTAACTGCAACAACTTTAATATACGCTATTGGAGCTGGAATTACCGCGGCTGCTGGCACCAGACTTGCCCTCCAATTGTTCCTCGTTAAGGGATTTAAATTGTACTCATTCCAATTACAAGACCCGAAAGAGCCCTGTATCAGTATTTATTGTCACTACCTCCCCGTGTTGGGATTGGGTAATTTGCGCGCCTGCTGCCTTCCTTGGATGTGGTAGCCGTTTCTCAGGCTCCCTCTCCGGAATCGAACCCTAATTCCCCGTTACCCGTTGCCACCATGGTAGGCCACTATCCTACCATCGAAAGTTGATAGGGCAGAAATTTGAATGAACCATCGCCAGCGCAAGGCCATGCGATTCGACAAGTTATTATGAATCACCAAAGAGCCCCGAAGGGCATTGGTTTTTTATCTAATAAATACACCCCTTCCGAAGTCGAGGTTTTTAGCATGTATTAGCTCTAGAATTACCACGGGTATCCATGTAGTAAGGTACTATCAAATAAACGATAACTGATTTAATGAGCCATTCGCAGTTTCACCGTACAAATTGCTTATACTTAGACATGCATGGCTTAATCTTTGAGACAAGCATATGACTACTGGCAGAATCAACCAGGTAACTACCGTCTGCACCGCCATCGCGGAGCCGAAGCCCTGCGCGGCGACGCCCGAACCCGGTCAAACCGGGCTGGAAGCAGTTCAACTAGAAGGAGCTCTCTCACGAGTAGCTCGCCCGGGGCAGACAGCGCAGCGCACCGCGCCACTGCTCCGAGCATTCAATTGCCCCCACTGGATTTCTTAAACAACCTTCCGCTGCAGAATCAGACTTACGCCCCGGAAGGAGCGCGCGTCCGCCTGCAACATGAGCTGCCCAAGAGAAGGGCCAGAACCTTGAACACATAGCTAGAACTACGGATCTCAAAGCTCACCTCCCTTCAAGAACATTTAACCAATTGCGAGCCAGCGGCCAACAATGGGTAAACTTCTCCCTCGCCTAAAGGATAAAGACCTTTTGGGCTTCGGGTGCTTTTGGTAATCTTTATAGCAAAAGCATTTCACGCCTTCGGTCGGTGAAGCGGCAACCTGAGTTGGACGGCTCAACTACCGAGAAAGCATGTGCCAGCTATGAAAGCTATCTGCAGCGCAAAGGCACAAAGAAGTTAATCGGCCAGAGGCAGCCAGGCCCACACGCTGCATCAGATATATCATCCGACCAGCTTGCCGACCCAACTCACCTCCTGCCTACATATACTCTCCGGACGCTTGTCCGCGTTGAATTGAAGGTCTATCGATGGAACTACCGCAAAGTTATTGAAGATGCACATAATTTGTATGAGTTTGGTAAAACTGGGCCAAACTATAGGCAAAAATGAGCCGTCCGAGAACGTGATTTAAGGCAACAACGGGGACTTAAACAACGTCGTCGGAAGAAGAATATCTTGCGCCCACTCTCCGAACCAGTGCGCGGTGACCTCCGGACGTGGCGCGTGCCCCCGGACCAGTGCGCGGTGACCCCCGGACCAGGCGCGCGTGCCCTCTGGAGTAGATGCGCGATGACCCCCGGGCCAGTGCGCGGTAACCCCCGGACGTGGCGCGCGTGCCCCCTAGAGCAGATGCGCGATAACCCCCGGACCAGTGCGCGATAACCCCCGGCGGTAACCCCCGGACGTGGCGCGCGTGCCCCCTAGAGCAGATGCGCGATAACCCCCGGACCAGTGCGCGATAACCCCCGGACCAGTGCGCGATAACCCCCGGCGGTAACCCCCGGACGTGGCGCGCGTGCCCCCTAGGGCAGATGCGCGATGACCCCCGGACCAGTGCGCGGTGACCCCCGGACATGACGCGCACCCCTCGATAGTGATGTTCCTTAAAGATCTATGATTTTTTTTGTAAGCGACCATCGAACGTGAATCTAGAAATATGATCACAAGCGGTAAAGTAAAGATTAACTTGCAGGTAAACTACGTACAAACAACGGCAAGAAGAAAACCAAGCAAGGCAGCAACTTTCAAACGTGAAAACCTTTACTGCTGATGATTGTCAAGCTTTTCTTTCGGCATCTACAAACAGAAGTTCTGCCAACAGGGCCGTACCGGAGTTTGCGCGCGACGGCCGGCCGGCCGGACGAGTTGCGCAAAACCTGACATGTTGTGTCTGTATCCGCTCAATGTGTGATCCGTCATCTCCGCATCTCCGCATCTCAGCATCTCCGCCTGCGGACACTTGTGATTGTAGCAGAAGATAAGAATATGTTCTTCACCCAGTCATCCTGCTAGCTTGATTTTTCTCAAACGCTTGCACCATAATGCAAACAGGAACTCCGCAGCATACCGGTCTGTAGCGGTACAATAACATCGCTCCGCGGCCACGGACGTTGCGCATAGGCTCCGGGAGTTGAGCGCAGACTCCGGAGCGGGTGCGCAGTGGACTCCGAACATTGGCACGCATACCTCTGCGGGACAACATGCGCACATGCTCCGATCTTGCGCCCAATATGAATGCCGTTCGTCGTTTCTCTTCATCTTCTGACAACACACATATGATGGATAATTTTTCAAAGGCAAATGTTTTCTGCTCGAATAAAGTATCCGGGAAGACTTGCTATGTTTTCCATAACGCCCATCTTGTATTTCTTCCAGTCATGTCAGATGGCCAACTTCCAGAACTCTTTCAGATACCAAGAGCATCACAAGGTCAAACTTAGTGAGGGAAAACAAAAGATGTGTAAAAGATTGTGTGATCGATCACGTGCTGGTTAACTACTTCTTAAGACTCTTTGCATATATATATATATATATATAAAATATCGTTTCTATCAAAACAACCCTTCTCCAAGTCCCCGGCGTTGCCGAAGACAAACATGTTGATGGAGGGTGTTTACAACAAATCGAGCCAAGGATCGGGCTGACGCTCAGCGACTCGTAACAACTAGGCTACTTGACCGCTTACACGACCCGCTTGGTCATTTCAGTCGTCTGCAGAGGATCTATCCCCGCGCGTGGTGACATTGCAATCCGTCAGCTGGCGCCCGAGAGTCTCTTCCCGGGAGCCGTCACCGACCTGCTGAGGTTCAGGGCCCGTAGGCCTATTCGTATCCAACTACAACGTGCGGGGCAACATCGCCGCGTTCCGGTACGGATTCTGACTTAGAGGCGTTCAGCCATAATCCGGCAGATGGTAGCTTCGCGGCACTGCCTGGTCAGACAGCCGCAAAAACCAATTATCTGAATCAACGGTTCCTCTCGTACTAAATTGAATTACCGTTGCGGCGACCTTCATCAGTAGGGTAAAACTAACCTGTCTCACGACGGTCTAAACCCAGCTCACGTTCCCTATTAGTGGGTGAACAATCCAACGCTTACCGAATTCTGCTTCGGTATGATAGGAAGAGCCGACATCGAAGGATCAAAAAGCAACGTCGCTATGAACGCTTGGCTGCCACAAGCCAGTTATCCCTGTGGTAACTTTTCTGGCACCTCTAGCCTCAAATTTCGAGGGACTAAAGGATCGATAGGCCACACTTTCATGGTTTGTATTCACACTGAAAATCAAAATCAAGGGGACTTTTACCCTTTTGTTCTACTGGAGA